CATAATTTTTTTTAATTTCTATTACTTAATTTATTAAATTTAAATTTAAGATTTTATATAAATAATATTTTCAACTAAATTTATGATTTTATTTTATTTATATTTAAAATTAAATTATTAAATAAATCAAAAATCCAAGTCAAATGTTATATCCCTTGCCATGTAAGCATGACATGGCAATATTTTGCCATCCAGGCAGCCAAGCGGGGTGTGTCCTCAACGGCAGTTAAGTCAGGCAAGCAATCCCAAACGGCAGTTACGTTAGCTTAAGAAGAAGGGCTTAATTGCTTTGATCCCAGAGTTCAAGGGCTTATATGCCTCAATTAAAGTTTAGGGGTTTAATAGCGATTCTGGGATTAGTTCAGGGGCTTAACTTATGATTTTACCAAACTTAAATCCTAGAATCGAATAGGGAACTCATAAATTGTTGGACTTTGGGATTATAGGCGTATTATAAATACGAGAAAATGGGTATCAGTCTTACCTCCCAAAAAAAAGTTGGAGTCCCAAACTAAACGGCGTCGTTTTCCTCTAAAAGCACAGCCCTGCCGTTCGTCTTTTCTCTCAAAAATCCAGCCCCTGCTCCTCAATCATCTCCATCTCCTTCTTTGCCCCTTTTGCAATCATCTCCATCGCCTCCTCACCTCTTCACCCAAAAAGCTCACCAGTAATGTTGCCCCCTCTGCAATCATCTCTATCTCTCCCTTTCCCCCTTTTCCCTCATGTGAGGTTGAGGCGATTAGAAGCCAAGAGACTTAACCATGCCTCCTCACGAGCTCGAAGTGCCATAGAACAAAAGAAATCGAGATTTGTGTTCCTTTGTCACACAAGCTTGAGGGAGTTGCGAACTAATTTATTTGGGTTTTGCAAGTTTGGTTGCTGTGATTTTGGTTATAATAGTGTTGAAATTGAATGATGAGAATTGAAATTGCAATTTTAGTTATAATAGAGGAAACCCAGATCTAGGTTTGTTGTCTTCAAAGATGCTTGAGTTCTGCTCCTCGTCTTTTCCCTTTCTCGAGTTCTATTCACAAATTGAATTTATGAGTTTTATTATTATTATTATTATGTTGTTTTCTTGGCCGCATTTGATTATGGATTGAAATATACTTGTGCGTTTAATGTGAAATTCAAGTTTGTTTCATTATAAGAACAAGAATTTCGATTTGAATTTTAGTGTTGTGAAAAGATTACTGCAAATGGGATTTGAACTAAATTTGTTTTTCTTGCGTGGGCTCATTAATGATGGTTTTGATTGTTTTTGATGTTGTGTTGCTCGTCTTGCCTCTCGGTTTTGTTCAGTTTCATGTTGAATTTTGAATTTGTTTTTTCCTCTCAACATCCCCATTGTACTGCCAGCACTTTGGAGGGGAAGATGGAGATGATTGCAGAGGGGGCGACATTACTGGTGAGCTTTTTGCGTGAAGAGGTAAGGAGGCGATGGAGATGATTGCAAAAGGGGCAAAGAAGGAGATGGAGATGATTGAGGAGCAAGGGCTGGATTTTTGAGAGATGACTGAGGAGCAGGGGCTGGATTTTTGAGAGAAAAGACGAACGGCAGGGCTGTGCTTTTAGAGGAAAACGATATCGTTTGGTTTGTGACTCCAACTTTTTTTTGGGAGGTATGACTGATACCCACTTTCCCGTTATAAATATCACTTTTTTTTAAAGTTATTTTCGCCCTAACCATGTTAGTATGCAACTTTTATTAAGAATTGCTTATTTAAAACTAATAAATATTTTAAATACAATAATAATGATTCAAAACCAAATTTACAAAATTTATTCAAATTAATGTGTGATGTATGCATAATGATTAATAAAAGTATTCTATCCTATAAAATGACTTAAGTTAGAAAGATTGATGTGGTTTGAAAGATCAAAGCAGCAAATCTAATTAGCATTAAAGGAAGACGGGTCACTGTTGACGTGACTTGAATTTGAAAGATCAAAACCATAAGTTAATTGATAATGAAAAAGGACTATTCACTCGCACGCAATCAATCCAGTTAAAATGGTTGAATAAATTTACAAAGATTATCTCAAGTCAAGATAAAGAAATTAGTTTAACATTATTTATTTAAAATTAATAAATATTTTAAATATAATAACAATGATTCAAACCAAAGACTATTCAAGTAATGTGTGGTGCATGCATAATGGCCAATAAAAGTATTCTGTCCTACAAAATGACTTAAGTTAGAAATGACTTAAGTTAAAAAAGTTGATGTGACTTAAAAGATCAAAGCAAAAAGTCTAATTGGCATTAAAAGGAGCTAGTCACTGTTGATGTCACTTGAAAGATCAGAACCATAAGTTAATTAACAATGAAAAAAGACTATTCTCTCTAACGCACTCAATCCAGCTAAAATGGTTGAATAAATTTGCAAAGTCTATCCCAAGTCAAGATAAAGAAATTTGTGAGAATTGCTTATTTAAAATCAATAGATATTTTAAACACAATAACAATAATTCAAGATCAAATTTACAAAGCCTATTCAAGTAAATGTGTGGTGTATGCATA